TTACAAGTTAAATCTGCATAAAAGTGAACTTCTCTGTGTCAACTCTATAGCCAGAAAGATTTCATTTTCAGGTTTTCAATTTAGTGTTAAATCAGGGTATGTGACCTATCTGGGGGTTAAGGTTACCCACTCATACAAAGATCTTTATGAAAGAAACTTTGTCGCGCTGCTTAAAAATACTGAGACAGATCTTCAGAGATGGAACAATTTACCACTGTCATTAATTGGCCGCGTCAATTCTATCAAAATGAACATACTTCCCAAGTTCCTTTACTTATTTCAATGTATCCCATGCTACTTACCCAATAAGTATTTTATAACACTGAATAAGCATATCTCTGCATTTATTTGGAATGGCAAAAGTCCACGAATTCGTAAAGATTTCATGCAGAGGACTAGGCCAATGGGTGGATTAGCCTTGCCAAACTTTTAGTCTTATTATTGGGCAGCAAATATTCGTAATATGCTGTACTGGATGAGTAATGTTACTACAGAGACTCCAGCTTGGCTCCAAATTGAGTCATCCAATTGTGGCAAAATTTGCCTATCAGCTTTGTTGAGTTCAGCTCTCCCATTAGAACTATACACCTATAAACGTAACCCTTTGTTGTATGACTCGCTCAGAATCTGGGTGCAATGTAGGAAAAGGTTGGGGTTACACTTAATGTCAATTAAAGCACCTATCTGCTCAAACCATATGTTCCCACCCTCCATGATGGACTCTGCCTTTAAAATATGGGAAAGTAATGGCCTTAGAAATATCAAAGACCTTTTTGTAGATGGGATTTTTGCCTCATTCACGCAGCTCCTGAAGCAGTTTAATGTTCCTCGGCAACATTTTTTCCGCTATTTACAAATTCGTCACTTTGTAACGAGTCGATTTCCTTCATTTCCGGAACTACCTGAGGAAACTTCTTTGGATAAAATTATTAATATAAACGTTCATAAGAGAGGGGCGATTAAAGAAATCTATGCTATACTATTAGATCTTCAATCTCCTTCTCTCTTCATCCTTAAAGCACAGTGGGAGAAAGACCTTGGGATGACTATAACAGATGAGCTCTGGCAATCTTTTCTCCAGAGGGTACACTCTTCTTCGATATGTGCCAGGCATGGGCTCCTTCAATTTAAGGTCCTACACCGATTACATATCTCCAAGGAAAAGTTAGCCAAGTTCTATCCAGGAGCTGACCCTCTGTGTAACAGATGTAAAGCAGAAACAGGTTCGCTCCTTCATACCTTTTGGACATGCCCCAATCTTCATAACTATTGGGTGTCTATATTTAACACTCTGTCAGAGATGTATAACGTTAAATATGAGCCTTCTGCTCTAACGGCTATCTTTGGGGTGATACCTCAAGACATCACTTTGCCAAAATGCTATTTGAATTCTATTGCCTTTGCTTCACTTATCGCAAGGCGCCTTATACTTTTAAGATGGAAGCAGGAAGCTCCTCCCACACATGAACAGTGGCTTGCGGAGCTCATGAGGTTTTTACATTTAGAAAAGATGAGATATACACTGGCAGGTTCAACCACCAAATTTCTTAGGGCATGGCAGCCATTCTTGATGTACATGGAAACATTTAAAATGACCACCTTATCATGACCAGATACCATATCTCTATATCGCTATCATAGCTAACTGTACGCTGAATGTCCCTTATACATTTTATTTTTCTATTTGTTTGTTGTTGTTTGTTTGTTTTTTGTTGTTTTGTAGGGGTTTCTTTGGTTTGTTTGTTTGTTTTTTCCTTCTCTATTTCTGTTATCTTTTGGGGTATTGTAAATACTGAACAGCAAACTACTGTATGTTCAATGTTTTGTTGTTAACATGCTGCTGTGACTGAAAATAAAATTTATAAAAAAAAAAAAAAAGATTGAATTGAATTGAAATAAATATGCTAAGATGAGATAGCTGACTTCATCTAACTAGCAAATGTTGTCCAGGCTACGTTGGTGATGCAGTTTTTTTTAATGTGTATGATATTTTTGTCATGCGATTTTAAAGCCGGTCCTACAAGCGCATCCAAGAATAACATGCAGCGTATCTCAGAACTGTCGGTGAAAATTATTCTTGGAGCTAGGTTTAATTGAGCTGCATTTTAAAGAGGTGCAATTTCACAATTTGTGTATATTTTCTAAGTTCACTATTTTGTCATGTGTTGAGAAAAACACAGATTTTAAAATTACATGGTCTAATATTTACATTTAGCATAACTGCAACATTATTTTTTCGGTTTTTTTTTTAAAGACTCGAAAGGACTTGAAATTCAAAGTTTCAGACTTGTGACTTGACTCGGACTTTTACACCAGTGACTTGAGACTCGACTCTGACTTGCCTGACATTACTTGAGACTTGACTTGAGACTTGAGGATAAAGACTTGAGACTTACTTGAGACTTGCAAGACAATGACTTGGTCCCACCTCTGAAAATGGCTACTATGGAACAGCTTAAAGAGAAAACCATTGCTGACCAAAAAGGACACAAAGGTCTCACATTTGCAAAAAAACCATCTCGATGATCCCCAAGACTTTTGGGGAAATATTCTATAGACTGGTGAGACAAAAGCTGAACTTTCTGGAAGGTTGAGTCCCATTACATCTGGCATAACTCTAACAGCATTTCAGCAACATTAAAAGATGGTGGTTGTAGTGTGATGGCCGGGGGCTGTTTTGCCACGTCAGGACCTGGAAGAGTTTTTGTGGTAAAGGGAAACATGAATTCTGCTGCCTCCCAAAACATCCTGAAGGAGGATGTTCAGCCATCAGTTGAAATGCATTTGGGTTCTGCAGCAGGACAATGATCTACACCAACACCACCACCTCTGAATGTCTTGATGCATGGTCGATCATCCAGGTGAGGAAATCACAAAAAGTAGCGTTTCAGTGGGAGAAACATTTTGTTACTCAGTGACTTGGTTGGGGAAACCTGCAGTCAGCTGAGACTGATGAAGAGACGAAATGTTTCTCCCACTGAAAACGCTACGTCCACATGAACAGAATCAACGTTTTGGGGTCCACCTGTTGGAGTTTCCTAGTCCTGACCTGAATCTGACTTATCCCTCCACCGTGTTGTAAAGAACTCATTGCCGGTTACATCACTGTGGCTGTTGCTGCTAAGGGTGGCCCAACTACTTATTAGGTTTTGGGGGCAATCACTTTTTCACACAGGGCCATGTGGGTTGTTTTCCCCCTGATCATAAACACCTTTTAGAAACTGCATTTTGTGTTTACTTGTGTCATCTTTGTCTAATATTTACATTTGTTTGTTGGTCTGAAATATATAAATATATTTCAAAATATACAAATAAATAGGAAATCAGGAAGGGTGCAAACAATAAACACAGTGGTGTGAAAAGACCACACTGTATTTATTTGTTCAGTTTTTGTTTTGCACGCATGCTTGTCAATATGTAGCAGTACTCAGCTTTACCTAAGGAGGTAAGACTTTGTGTTTTCTACGGTGTATCTGAAGATGTTGTGAATTGTAACACTGGTAACGTTTTCCCTCACTGCATAATAACCTATCAGAATAACAAAGGTCTTTTCACACTAATTCATATAACTACAAACGCATAAAAACAAAAGCTTTCTTTGTTAATCGCTTAAGCAGTAGACACATCAAAGCAATAAACATTCTGTACCACTGCTGAAAAACACAAAGATTTTTCTCCAGTTTACGCACACTGTCTCTGCTTACATAGAACCTTAAGTAGGTCATAAAAGCACTTTATTTTACACAAAATGTTTGCAGTCACCAGCAACCTGGGCTTTAGTATCTTGCTCAAGGGCAACTGGCACTAGGAGATGCCAGGAAGCAAACAGCCAACCCTGCAATTAACAGATAACCTGCTTCTGTTATATGAGCCACAGCCACCTTTGTGCATGGCTACATGTACACACACACAGACATATTCTAGTTAGTTTTATCTACATGTCAAATACAATGTACATGCATATAAGCAGAACAAAGACTCCCCCCTCTGTACAGTGTAAATAGGACAGATCGGGAAAGACAGAAGATATGAGAAGCAAAAAGAAGGAGAAGATCAGATAACTTACTGATGGGGGGGAAGTTGATGGGATAAACAGGAATAAATGGTGAGGAGAGGGGTTGTTACATCGACCCCCTGATGTTTTTATCAGGAACTAAAAGCTGTCAATTGTCTTATTATATTTATATTGGAACTCTTTTTGCATTTGAAATGCTGTTCTGTACATATAATATAATATATAGCAGCATAAGCACTCAGGAAAGAGTGCTTATGGATATGAACCTGATAACAGCATTTCATTAAATCTAACCTCCCCCCCAAGGATGTTCATGTGAATATTAAATCACTTACCTGCTGATCAAAGCATATTTTATTAGTTGAGTGGGCATATTACTGATAATAGAAAAATATGAAAGCATAAATACAGCTCTTATTTATTTACTGCAGTTCAGTCGCACAGTGTGTCCATCCTTAACAGTGTGTGGATGTTAGTCGTGGAATTTTGCGATGTTATATTAATTATTAAAATGTTTTCATTTTTGTTCATTCATAAATCAAAAAAACATACTTGTCATTGCACATTAATTCACTGACTTGTATTTCTGATACGTATTTTCTTTACATTTACCAAAGGACTGTGTTATTGTTATATGCCTTACCATATAAAGCGCCCTGTTGTCATTTGGCGCTGTATAAATAAAACTGAGAATAATTTAGCGGGTCTGGCTGTTCAAACAAGGCTGCTGTCGGCTTTTTCGTATCTGTATAAAATCCATTTAAATTACGCCCAAGACGTCCTTAAACTCACTTCACCCACCTTTTCAGGAAGGCATAAACCGCTGTGACAATATTTCTTTACAAGTCAATGGACTGCACAACTGATGACATTTATATGGAAGACCTGTATAGTTTTTGTCCTGTAAGTCATTTAACATCACACGCAAGTGAACATACTCAAAGCTTATTGGCAAAGCAGAAAAATATTCCCAAAAACCACTCACCATTGATGTTCCAGAGAGGCTGAAGCCCTCCAACTCCGTTACTGTCGTTACTCATGATTCATGGCGCTGAACCGACAACAGCCAAGACGAGACTTTTCTCTCCCTCCTTTTCTCTTTTTGCTCTCGTCCACGTTGTTTTTCTTTCTCCAAGTTTTCTACCCACTGTCACCCTTGCGTAGATGATGTTATCCTCCGCTCCGCTTTTCCGTCAAGCACACTCACAGTTCACATTATGTTCCTCCTGCTTGTGTGGTGTTTTCTCTTTAACCAGTTTTCATAGTGTAGTTTCCCTCCCTGGATGCGTTTTCTAATAATAATAATAATAATAATAATAATAATAATAATAATAACGGCGACAAAAATAAATTAACAGCTGTTATAGACTTAACACCTATCCATATCCCAGGCTTCGCTCATTGATCGCAAATCCAAAACGTGCCCGCTCAGCTTCAGCCACAGGGTTCTCGTTCTCGCGCGCACCGCACGTTCGTTCTCTCACAGCCTGTAAAGAAGGAGCGCGAGAGAGGAAGAGAGACGAGGAAGGACTTGTGATGTCATGTCCTTCAGCCAATCCCGGTAAATAACTTGGCATTGAACGTTGACTCACAGTGCTGTTGTACCAAAATGTTAGTTTAGGGATGCTAATAAGTCACTCCTGAGAATTAGCAGGTTGATATTCTCTAGTCTATGTGAAATACTTTAATTTAAAAACATGAAGTTCAGCTCAATGCATCTTTTTTTTACTAAATTTGTGGTTAAGTTTGCAAAAGCTGGAGATGGGAAAGCAGAGAAAGGAGAGCTGTGATAAGAGCAGAGAGGAGTGGGGAAATGCATTTTCGTGCATTCAGCAAACTAAAGAGTTTAGAAATGAGGCTGTTTATAACCAGCAAGTAAAAACCAAATGCTATGTTATCAGTTTTCTTCCACAAGGAGTGAAAATCATTTGCAAGAAATACTGCTTCGAGCCATAAACTACCATAAACCCTTCACTATATCAACCAGTTGTCTTTGTTTCACTCATCTGAAATGAAATAGGTCCTACCCTTCAAAGGAGCCCAGCTGATGTTAAGCTGTCACTGTCAGCACAGTAAGTAGCTTTAATTGTGACAGAAAAAAGAAACACACATAACCTACTGGTGTTGAAATAAATGAATCACTAAAATATTAGACAACAAAAGAACATGTGCCCCAAAAGTGGCCTCTTTCTCTGCTCCATCACCTTTTTCTGAGCAGTTCTGAGCATCTCAGCTGAACGACTGAGGTGGGCTGCTAATCACAAGGAGAGTGGAAATAAGAGAAATAATGACGACCAAGCTTTACAGCTTGATGAACTAGCAACTCGTGGAAATGACAATGTTACAAGTGAAATACTTCAGCACTCTGGTAAGCCAAGTTAGCACATTAGAGCATATTCTATTAATAAAATGGTAATTTTAGATCCCTTCCAGCTACAGGATATTAATGTTTTAAAGACAGACGCTGCAAATGATGACACACCTTCCACGAACCAGCAAATGCTGGAGAAAGCACTGAGATGATGTCGTTAAGAGGTTAGACTGAGAGGCTGATGTCTCAAAATGCAGAGGGCAGTTATGTGATAAAGGGAAAAATACAGAGAAACAAAAACAAAACAACACTGCTCATGCTGTGCAGCACCCACAGCCTAAAGTTAATTATTGCACGTTCCAAAATTACAGAGCAGCGTTTGAGTCTCTTTGCGGTGCTTATTTAAGTCTTATATATAAATATATACACTGCCAGTCAAAGGTTTGGACACACCTTCTCATTTAATGGTTTTTCTTTATTTTCATGACTGTTTACACAGCAGGCATCAAAGGCATCAAAACCATGAATGAACACATATAGAATTCTGTGGTAAACAAAAAAGTGTGAAGTTCCTCAAAACATGTTTTATATTTTACATTCTTCAAAATAGCCACCCTTTGGCATTCTCTCCATGAACTTCATCCCACATACCAGATCACACAATGTGCTTACACATGGCCCACATACCGGAAAGAATGACGGCCCTTTGGTAGCCCAGATCTGGTTTGCCAGAGATGGCCCACACATGGACCAGTTGCATTCACACTGGTGGTGCTGTGCTGGCCCAGAACAGTTTCAACACTGGCCACAGATGTCAGCCTAATGTGTACCTTAATCAAGCCATGTAATAACGAAATGTGCCGGAACATAATAGTGCAACAACAGCATGACAGAACCCTGTTCACACAGTGAATGGACTGCTTCTTATGTAGCACTTTTCTACTCTCCCAGGTTACTCAAAGTTCTCTATACAACATGCCACATAGACAAACTTTCTCTAAGCTGAGTGCTTCCTAACTACATTCATACTCTTGACATGCAGACTGGAGGAGCTAGGAATCGAACCACTAACCTTCTGATCATTTGGTGACCTGCTCTACCTCCTGAGCTACAGCCACTCACTGGCAAACATGAGTAAACCCTTACTAGGGTTTGGATAAAATGTATGTTTCCATATTTAAGTCACAACTCAAAACACATCTGTTTAAACTGGTTTATTCGCTTTAGTGCTGATTTTATCTGTTGTCAAGCTCTGTTTCACAATTTTAACTTGTTTTATGTATTTTATGACTGTTGTTCCTTTTATTAATGTTGTTCTTTGTAAGGTGACCTTGGGTTTCTTGGCGCCCTCAAATAAAATGCATTATTATTATTATCATTATTATTATCATTACACCCACAAACCTGTCAAACCTGCATTTGAAACGTTGGCTACCATAGCAGTATAGTATTGCAACATGTCATTTGGGTCTTCTAACTAAAATAGGAAAATAGGAACGTAAATAGTGCCTCATTGCCAGACCTGGCCCACATCTGGTTGACATGCACCCTGCCATGACACCAGTCAGTCAGAAGTGCCAGCTTGACGTTGGATCCGGTTTAGACCTGTTTTCTATGAGCCTGGGCCACATACACCAAACCACAATCAGGCCAGATGTAGCATGCCATCACATAAGCAGTGCCATCTACGCCAGGCCTGGCCCATGTCTGGATGACAAACCACTTACCATGCCAGAAGTCAGCCAGCAGTGCCGGCGTGACACCAGATCCAGGCCAGACCCGTCAGCTATGTGGGATGAGGTCGTCACCTGAAATGTTTCTCCAACAGTCTTGAAGGAGTTCCCAAAGATGCTGATCACTTGTTGGCCCTTTTGCCTGCACTAGTCCGTCTCATCCCAAACCATTGGGTCAGGTGACTGTGGAAGCTAGGCCATCTGGCGCAGCACTCCATCACTCTCCTGGTGTTGAAAATTAAATGATGATCCAAATACACACAAACCAGATGGGATGGCATGTTGCTGCAGGATGCTGTGGTAGCCGTGCTGGTTCAGTGTGCGTTCAAGTTTGAAATCACATCTCCTCCTCCATGCTTCATGGTGGGAACCATGCATGTAGAGACCATGCGTTGACCCTTTTCTGCGTCGCACGAAGACACTGCAGGTGGAACCAGAGATCTCAAATTTGGACTCACAGACCAAAGCACGGATTTCCATTGGTCTAATGGTCATTCCTTTGTTTCTTGGCCCAAAAAATCTCTTCTGCTGGTTGCTTTTCCTTTGTCCTGGTTTCTTAACAGCTCTTTGACCATAAAGGCCTGATTCACACAGTCTCATCTGTCTCCACTGAGCGAGCACACCTGTGATGTTAAAAGTATTTCATCATGATTCTCACTGAGCCAAGGGTTTGCAGCACTGTCAAAAGGCAAAAGCTGGCTACTTTCAGGGATCTATAATATAAGACATATTTAGTTATTCATCAATTATCTCTTTGCTACATAATTCCATATATCTTGTTTCATATATCTTATTCTTTCATATATTAAATGTCTTCAGTTTGTATCTACAATGTGGAAGGTCGTAAAAAATGAAGAAGAACCATTAAATCAGAAGATGTGTCCAAACTTTTGACTGGTAGTGTAAATAATTATATGATCAACAATGAGATGAGAGACTTTTTGTCATGGCTGGGGCAGCAGACGTGTGGTGGAGTTAAATGAGGACCCAAGATGCAGGAAACGGCTAGATGCAGGTGAGTGTTTGTTTACAAAGGGTGAAATATAAACAGAAACAAGGGTGGCGAGGACTGCACAAAGACACGAACCTAACCTGGGAAAAACTAATGAACCTGGAACACGAGATGAGAACAGACAGACACGGAGTAATACCAACTAACACAGAGTAATGCAGACGACGCGACAAGGAACACAGGCAGACACACACTATAAATACACACGAGGTAATGAGGGGAATGACACACAGGAGGGGAGCACAGCTGAACCACAAGACCTTCAAAGTAAAACAGGAAACACACAGACTGTTTTACAATACAAACTTGGGGACACGAACAGAACAGAGGAAAGACACAGGTAGGGCTGGTAAAACACTAAACACCAGATTCAACCCTAAGAACTAATACAAAATCAGAATTAGCACAAAACACAAGATGAAACCAAAAGGAAACACAAAACGCTGCGACCATGACACTTTTAGATGACAATGAAACCATTTCTGCAGTAAGAGGCCTAAAAAAGGAGATAAGATCATGAAAATCCCTTCTAACTGTGGTCATTCAGTACAACATGTGTCTGCCCAGATCCCAGAAGTGGGAATTAATGAGGTATAGCATGACTCTGAATTTCATCCAGAAAAAACCCAAAACTCCATCTTTCATCAGCCCAAAGGGATGATCGAGATATAAGACTTGGAGATGACACTTCCCTTTCTGCCACATAAATCTGAAAAGCAAATCACCAATTTCAGTATGAGTCTAAAAATGCAGACTTTCCCCTGGTGGTAACATACACTGAACAGTTCAAGAGAGATATTCTCCTCCCTCTTGTGAACTCAGTACAGACATTAGGGAATGCTCAGTTTGATGGAGTAATTTCACACACTGTTGGGGATTAAATATGGAAGTGGGGACATGAAGCAGGCTCTCCGAAACCACTTAAAGATGGGCACAATATTTGGTGATGTGGATATTAAGGAGCATTTGACCAAAGTACAGTACTGTGTCTGTGAAGGAAACCACTGGTCTGTATGGTCTTAGTTTTTTCTACAGCAGCAATTTAGCTGAACTGTATCCCAACCTCAGCTCTGACGTGTGACTCAAAGCAAAAGCTCAGAAATGCATCTGAGGTCAGGAGCATCTATCACCTCTTGCCCAGATTTATTAGATATTCTTGATATTCAAACACACGAGGGTGCAGTAATGATAATATTAAGTTTAAGTTATTAGTAAAATATTTATTTTACTCAGCATGTGTAACCTGCCTAATTTCTTTCCCTCAGCATTTTGACATGTCCCATTCTTCTTTCGGGTAGTCAGTGAACTGTCCATGGTGCTGAAGTTTATAGGCAATGACTCTTTCACTTACTTTAAATTTCAAAACACGGACAAACCACCAGAACACAAAAGTAGGAAAATGACGAGGCGTCC